CGCGGGCACGGGACGGGGGTTGGGGGGGCGGGCGCAGGGCCGGGGCGCCGTACCTTCGCCTCCCTCCTCCTGTGCTCCTCCCTGCGAGACCGCTCCTTCCTCTCCGCGTGGCCTCGCGGCCTCTCCTCGCCCGCGTGGACGCCCTCTTTATGGCGCCTCTCTCTATGCCTCTCCTCCCCTTCCTTGCCGCAGAACGAACTGCCTTTCTCCTTGGAACTCTTCTCTCTCCGCTCCCGCGTGCCGCTCTTCTCCCGGTGCTTCTTCTCCCGGTCTGGCTCCTTCTGCTTCCTGTGTCGCCTCTCGCCCTCCTCTCTGTACAGCCAGTACTTGAGGGGGTTGTCCTTGCTGTCGCCATACTGCAGCTGTGGATGTGACGGGGACAGACACACAAGCGTTGCCAGCGGCACGCGCCGTCGCGCGTTCACACCCCGCAGAGGTGGAGAGGCACAGGGCTCGGGCGCTGCCACCCTCCCAGACGCACGTGACAGCCGGGACAGGAGCAGGGACGGCCCCGCCAGCACGCACACTCTCGGGGCGCTGTCGCCCCCGTTCCTCCTCCGGGCGAACCCTCCGGACCTAGCTGCTGTCCCCGCCCCGACTCCCCGCGTCCGCACCCAACCTGCCAGGCCCCCGAGGGCACCGTACTAGGTGTTCAGGGGGACACCCGCGTCCGGGGGCAGCACAGGGCGCCTCTCCTCCCAGCACGCGTCCGTCCCCACCCGCAGGGAGACCGCTCCTCACCCTTGGGTCCCTCAAGCCCCCGGGGATGCCCGGTGACCCCGGGGGCGGGCACCACGAGGCAGTGAGCCGCTGCAGACTCATACAGCAGGTCGTGAGCATCACCAGGACATCGTAACAGAACCCGAAGTGCACCGTCCTTTCCCTTCACTCAGGGCCTCCTCCCTCTCTGCGCCACCCCTCGGGACGATCCCACTGCCCCCACTCACTCTGCTCACAGCACTGACATACATAATCATCAGACAGTTCATCTTCAAAGCACCCTTATTCCCCGCGCCAGACCAGGAGGCAGACATGCACAGGTAATAACAAGTGAAAGGGCCATAGACCCTTTCACAGAATGCCTTTTGCGTGTGAATCAAATGAGCAAACATTCGCTGCTTAGGTCGGGGGGAATCATACTCAAATAAAGGGAACAACTATGCTCGTTGTGAAGTGAATTGGTGAGATGACACAATGTGATCCAGCTGGTTCACTTCCAGAAATTAATCATTAGGAAATAATTATGAATAAATGCAAAAAGTCTACACCTCGGATGTCCTAATAAAAAAATTTTAGAATCAAAGTAAATATCCAAGGAAGCAGATGTGTCAAGAAAACTATGATGTGTTGATATCACTGAATAATGTATTATGTAGCCATTAAAATACTACAGACATGTGATAGCTTAGAAAAAATGTTCAAAATGTGTTCAGTTTAAGCAGTTATAAAACAGTGAAAATCCAACTTAAAATGAAGTTTCCATGTATATATCCAAACATATATATACATATGAATATATAAACCTATAGGACATATACCTAAACATTATCAATGATTATCTCTAGGTGAGCACCTACCTTTTATTTTCTTCTTCTTATTTATTTGCGTTTTGTAAATTTTCCAGAATAGCCAATGTTGACTCTTGGAATTGGAGAAACACACTTGCCTAAAGGATCTCAGTGCTTGAGCACAGTCTCGGGTCTTGGACTCTGTTTTACGCGCTTCACCAGAAAAGCTCCCGGAGTGCCCACCTGGGTGTCCTGGGCCCTGCAGCTGGGGCCCGGGGCTGCTCCCTTCATACCTTTCTCTCTCGGTACCTTCTCTCCCGATCCTCATCTCCTCGCTCAGAGTCTTCATCTCTCTGCTCCCTCTCTTCAATTCTTGCTTTACTTCCTACAAAAATAAAACAGGTTTTTAACATTCCCAAACTTTAATGTCCTGCAGCAGTGTCTACAGGACACATCACACAGTATCACGTGTGTAAACATGTTCTTTAAGACACATTCTCCAGTCTCAACTGTGGAAAGTTCTAGAATCTGAACTTAAAATGGAATAAAGGAGAAGGAAACCTGGAAAGCATGTCAGAGGAGCCCCAGACGGGCACCAGTCCAAACACAGGGCTTCAGAGCTCTGGTTGCTGCCAGAGACTCAGGGAAGCAAAGTCCAGTCCAGCTGGGCAGGCATTCCCTCCCCCATGCTCAGCCAAGGGAAAAGCCGCCTCGTACAAACTGGGAGACTGCCCCCTCCTGCCCCCAGGTCCCCTAGAGCCCTGCCACCCAGGGCACACTGGTGCAGGAGGCCCTGTGATGCAGAGGGCAAGGACGGCCCACTCCCCAGGCCTCAGGTGAAAGCTGGAATGCCCCTACCCCACCCCGTGATCTCTCCCTGCCACGGGGACCCAATACAACCACCTCAATCACTGGTGACGCCTGCAGCCTCGTCCAGGAGCGAAAAACCAGACTTCTACTTTTGAATCTGCATAATACTTATTAGGCTTAAAACTACAAAAACCCACATTTGTAAAGGTGAGGACAAAACTCAACATACAGAGATCATTGAAACAAATTTCATTCACCACAGAAGTATTCACCAAACCTGACCACTTTCTAAAAGCCTTCGGCATACGAGATCAAGGGCTTCCCTGGTGGCTCAGATGGTAAAGAATGTGCCTGCAACGTGGGAGACCTGGGTTCGATCCCTGGGTTGGGAAGGTACCCTAGAGTAGGGCATGGCAACCTTCTCCAGTATTCGTGCCGGGAGAATTCCATGGACAGAGGAGCCTGGTGGGCTACAGTCCCCGGGGTCGCAAAGAGTGGGACACGACTGAGCGACTAAGCACACATTTAAGAGATCAAAACACACAGTGGGGTCCCCTGGCGGGGGTGACAGGAGTGCAGAGAAGGGCCAGGCTCAGAGAGAGAGTGGGGTCAGGGGGATTCCCAGGGTTTGCGACATGAGGAAGGAAGAGAGGGTCTGGGGACCTGGGGAGACACGGAGGAGGCAAGGGAAGGGGCAAATGGCCCTGGGAGGAGGAAGGGCCGTCAGAGTCAGGCTGCACAGACTCTGCACAGACTCCTGAACAACCAGAGCGACGCTGCGCCGAGAAGACAAGAGCAGGGAGACCAGAACGACCGGAAAACAAAAAGGACGTCACTGTTAAAAAAAAAATACCAAGAACATCAAAATGTTAATCCTGAAAACAGGCAATGGGTGGTGCGGGAGTCACTGTGGAACTTGAGCAGAGACAGCCCACTTAACCTCACCCCGCCCAAAGCTCAGGTCCCCGGGCCCGAGCCCCTACGCAGGGCAACACAGGCCACCAGACCGCGAACTGAGGTCCTGCTTCCATGACGATCACAGCCTGAGGATGCTGGAGCCACGATATGCTCTTCTAACATATTCCTTTTTAGTGTATGTTGGCTAGTTTGACTTTTTATAGGAAGAAGATACCATTTGTATAATAAAAAATAATGAAGATACTTTATTCCATTTGGGAAGAAAAAAGTACGTACTTCTACCTTAGAATTTCTAGGAATTTGAACAGATATTTAAATATGGCTAAAATAAATCTGATACTTTGGAGAAATTCTTTTATCAAAAAGCACTATTTTTTAATTTAAAACAGGGGCTGTGAATTATGGAGGGAATAAATCTAAAGTATATTTCAGTAGTAGAACTCCAGCCAATAATTAAGCTGCTGCTCTTCCTGTTCACTAGAGACAACCAAAGAAAGCAGTGCAAAGTGAGCACACAGGTGCACCGCGGGGCTCTGATCTCACAGCCAAAGCCTCCAGGAAACCCACAGGAGAAGGCCCGGGGGCGGGTCGCCTCCTCGGAGACACAGACCTGCCCGCCGGCGCTCCGGCCTGTCCCCGTCCCGGTCCTGGTCGCGGTCCCGGGCCAGCAGGTTGCGGTGCGCGGCCGCCTGCCTCAGCTCCTCGCGGCGCGCCCGGTGCTCCTGGTCCCTCTCACGCTCCTTCCCCCGGACGTGCGGCTTCTCCGCGTCCAGCTCCCGGTGCCTCTCCTTCGGCCGGTCCCTGTCCTTCCGCCGCTCCCGCTGCCTGTCCCCGCGCGGGTGCTCCCGGGCGGCGTGGCCGTCCCGCTCGGCGGCCCGCTCTCGGTGCTTGGCCTCGCGGTCGGGGTCCCCGGGTCGGTGTTCTTTGCCGTCTGCCAAGTCCGCTTCCGACTCCCGCAGCGGTTTCCGGTCTCTATGCTTCTTCTCCTCCTTGGGACCAGAGGACTGAGCCGCCTGCACGAGGGAAGGAGAGCGGAGGTCTGCACCCCGGGGCCACACCCACCGAAGGGCCCTAGGAAGCACTGGCTTAAACCGTTGTCGGTCCCCGCAGGCCGGGCAGGCAGTCAGCTAGGCAGCCCCGTGACCAGCCAGGTGCTCACCTCCAGGGACACCCGAGGGTGCCAGCAACTCAAACCTGAAAGGCCCCGTGAATCCGAAAGAAAGGAAGGCAGTTTGAGGCTGTGCTCGAAAGTCTCAGGACACTGGCTGCCGGGGTCCCCCTCCGAGAACAAGGGCCATCACCATAAACTCTCAGGAGGTGTCTCCTGTGTGTGTGACCTCGCAGCATGGCATGCGGGATCTCAGTTCCCCGACCAGGGATGGAACACATGCCCCCTGCAGGGGAAGTGTAGAGTCTTAACAGCTGGACCACCAGGTAAGTCCCTTCTCAGGAGGTCTTGATTGCAGGCAGCCCTTCAGCTCCCCACATATGTGCACACAGACCCCCCCCACACAAGGCCCGCGTTATGAACCCCAGCAGGAACCCCACTGGTGGGATGCTGAGCTAAACTGGGCCAGAAAACCCCAGACAGGACAGTTCCTGAGCAGCTAACCACGTGGCTTTATCTCTGCGTCAAAATGCCTCTGCAACAAGCCATACGTAAGCAAAGCCGTGCAGAGCTGAGAACCAGGTAACACTATCCAAGATTACCGTCCAGGGTCCACACAGACCCAAACTCAAAATTTCTTTCCCCAAATCTTTAAAATATACTACCCAAAGGTGTTTTCGGAGGTCATCTGCTTTCCAAGTATCATCTTTGGTTCTTCTCTAAAAAGAAAAGTATAGAGTTAGAATTTAATTTTAGAGTTTAAAACATCTAATTTTTTATGCTCCAGTGAGCTGCTTTTTCATTAGACCATTTTAGTCAATGGCAATCCTTGATATGCCAAAAATTATTGTCTGCCTATAAGAATAAAAGGTATCATAAACAGATTTTTTTTAGTTACCCATAAATGATCACAGGCTACCCTGTATTCCTGCTGCTCCGAGGTTCATGCCCAGTGCAGACACCCAGCCCCACCTCCCCAGGCAGACCCACAGCGGACCCCTCAGTGGGAGGTTTGCCCGGCAGATGCCTCTTCAGGTGCTGACAGCAACAAGTCCACAACACAGGGTGCCAGCTGCGTGCCCTGGGTGATGGCAGAAACCAGTCAAGGATGGTTTCCTATAGAGAACAAGACAAACCTATCCCAACTACGTCATTTGCCTTTGAGAAACTCTGCCTTAAGAGCATAAATACAGGAGGACCTGGTGTGTTTCAAATTTAAAGCAAATGGAGTGCAAATAAAAAACAAAAACCCACTCATGGATCAGCCACCAAAAATCATCCTGGTGATGTGTAAATGAAGAAAGCAGGGGAAAAATTCACAACAGCTCATAACACTCTAAGGAGAAATAAAAAGCAACAAGGTCAAGAATCTGCCAAAGCACAAGCAGAAAGGGCATCATTCTCTGCTCTCAGTGGAACATGTACTCTTTTCTGATAAATCGCTGGATTTAACAAAAGGAGTGCACAATAAGACATGGTGAGGATGGTGAGCAACAGTTAGCACCACTACAACCTGCAGCTGCTGAACTTAAAAACATTTTCTCTCCAGTTAACTGCTCTTTAGAGAGGTTTAATACATGATCTTTTCCAAACAAATGGCTGAAAGCCGACAGAGAGTGTGCACTGCTGCTGGAGCAGGCAGTGGGGTCCAAGACCTCTACCCGCGGGAGGCACCTGCAGGAATGTGATCCAATGTGGAAAACCCACTGGATCAGGGCTCTTAATGGTTGTAATTATATTACTTATGCCAATAAAGTTGAAAAAAAAAAAAATACAATAAGACATGGTGAGGATGGTGAGCAACAGTTAGCACCACTACAACCTGCAGCTGCTGAACTTAAAAACATTTTCTCTCCAGTTAACTGCTCTTTAGAGAGGTTTAATACATGATCTTTTCCAAACAAATGGCCGAAAGCCGACAGAGAGTGTGCACTGCTGCTGGAGCAGGCAGTGGGGTCCAAGACCTCTACCCGCGGGAGGCACCTGCAGGAATGTGATCCAATGTGGAAAACCCACTGGATCAGGGCTCTTAATGGTTGTAATTATATTACTTATGCCAATAAAGTTGAAAAAAAAAAAAAAGAACAAGGTAACAGATCAGAGACCCCAGGATTTTCCAGCTGCCTCTAACATTTTCACCAACAAAAACCTGGCTTCGGGCCTTACTTCATCCTGATGCTTTTCTTCCTTTCCTTTTTAAATTTCTCGTTTAAATGCTTTAAACTGTAAAATGACACAAAGCTCCTCATGCCCATCACAACCCCAGGTGTCACCCTGCATATGCTTGGCCACTGGCTTCAGACCAGGAGCCCCTGCCTCCTGCCCTCTGCTCAGCCCATCCCGTGAGGCAGATAAAGGCAAATAAAGTAGAGAGGCAGTGTTTTTCCCCCTCGAGAGGAATAAACCGCACCCTGAAAACAAAGGAAAACCCCATAAGAGATGCCTGAACAGCAGAACTTCCAACCTCCTTATCCAAGTGTAACTTATATGCAAACGAACCTGTCCTGCTTACCTATATATAGGTATATACATGCCCACATCGCTCTTTGAGCAGCAAGAGCTGCTTAGTCCAATCACACAACCTAGCTCCGCAGTGGACTCTGTGTGAACTCTGCTTATATAATCACGATATGACAACCAATGACAGACATTATAATGGAGTGACCCCAGTTCAGGCAAACAAAAGGGGTGACCATTGAGGATCCGGCCTCAGACCCTACCCCGCAGCATTGAGAAATTGAACTTTCTCTGAACAGCACCACACCCAAGATCACCAACAGCGATCAGACAGCACTTACCAGCTGCAAGGACCCCAAGCAAGCCCTCATCTCCTCCCAGCTCCATGATAATTCCTGACAAGCAACTCAAGCAGCTAAATGTAACATTGTAAATTCTTGCCTTTATAAGCCTCTTCCACTTTGCAATCAGGGAACACAGTTCAAGAGCTTGAATCTGTATCTCCCAAGCCGCAGTAGTAACATAGGCCAAATAGACACGTTTTAACCTCAATCAAGTCTCCTTTTCTACTATTTGGTTAACACAACTTTTAAAACTTCCTATAAACAAATCAGAGAAAACAGGTTACAGAATAACTTATGAAAACGTAAAGAACCGGTGCAGTGGATGACAGAAGTCAGGAAGTTGATGCGCTAACTCCTAATCGATATTACTAACACGATAAAAGTGAATGACAGAAGACCAAAAAAAAAAAAAAAAAAAGGAGGGAAATGCATGCAAACTAACTCATCTTTTACGTGAATCCACAGACAAGCAGAACGAGAGAGCTCATTTACTGAGTTAGTAACACCGTCCTGAGCACTTTAATGTCTAGAACCTCATCCAGCCCTACTCGTACTGCCCCGATGTATCCGTTGGGAAATAAGACACGTCGGTAAGTTTCCTACAGTCCCGCAGCGCAACTCCGGGGCGCCTCCCGCCCCGTAGGAGGGGGCGGCCCCGGCGGGCACGGGCTTTCCGGCGTGGCGTCCGCACCCACCTTCCCGGGCTCCATCGCCGCGCGCAGGCCCCGGAGGCCGCGCTGCCCTCCTGCCTGCCAGGCCGGGGAAGAGACGCTCGGGCTCCCGCACTCCCAGCCGGCGTCCCGACTCCTAGCAACCTGCAGGCGGGGCAGCTGAGCACCGAGCGACCGCCGGCCCAGCGTGCCCCGCGGCCGCCCCCAGCGCGCCTGCGCTTCCCCTCCTCCTAGCAACTGGTAGACGGCGCAGCTGCGCGGCCTCCCCTAACGCGCTTGCGCCGCCCTACCTCCTAGCAACCGACAGACTGGGCGGTAGAGCACCGAGAGACCGCCGGCCGAGCGTGCCCCGCGGCCGCCCCAGCGCGCCTGCGCCCTCCTGTCTCCTAGCAACTGACCGGCGGGCCCGGAAAGCCCTGAGCTACAGCCGGGCCGTTATTCCCGTGGGGTCCGAGGAGGGGAAAGGGGTGCGGAGCAGGGCCGAGCGCGGCCGGAGCTCGGCCCAGCGGCTCTCTGGCGGGAACGCAGCCGAGCAGAACGGGAGCTGCTGCAGGGAAACGGGCAAACCCGCCTTTTGAAGTGGAGCGGAACCCAGCCTCGGTCCGGACGGGCGGCGGAGGGCGCTCTCCTTCCGCGGAGGCTCGCACTTCTCGAGTTCCTCTGCCCGTGATTGCCCTTTGCTACTGGGCAGGATTGGTAGGAATCACAAAGTGTCTGAAAAAGTATTTGTTGAAAAACTCAACTTTTACACAAAACGGGCGACAAGGGGAATGAGATATTAAGGCACTAGTCTGCACCTCACGTTTATAATATTTTATCACAGCTATTTTAAGGTTAACATAAAAGCCAACCTTAAGCATGCCAGACTAGAGACGGATGGGTCCTACTCCCGTGATGCACATTGTAACTGACATCTAGCTCTGATTCTGCGAAGTGTTTCGCGTCAGTTCAGCCTGCAAGTGTCACTTAGAAAGGATTTCACTTACGGGTAGAGAAAAAGAGAGGACTCAATCTTGTGCTAAGGAGCGCATCCGTGAGCGTGTTATTAGGGGGCCTGTACTTTTGATGTTTTTTTCCCTTTTCATACTGTTCATGAGGTTCTCAGGACAAGAATACTGGAGTGGTTTGCCATTCTCTCCTCTGGTGGACCATGTTTTGTGTTGTCAGAACTTTTTACTACGACCCGTCCATCTTGGGTGGCCTTGCACAGCATGGCTTATAACTTTGTTGAATTGCCTAAGCCCCTTCCCCAGGACAAGGCTGTGATCCATGAAGGGACCATAAAGAGGGCTGAACACCAAATAATTGATGTTTTTGAACTGTGGTGTTGGAGAAGACTCTTGAGAGTCCCTTGGACTGCAAGGAGATCAAACCAGTCAATCCTAAAGAAATCAACCCTGAATACATTGGAAGGACTGATGCTGAAGCTCCAGTACTTTGACCACCTGATGGGTGGGAAAGACCCCGATGCTGGGAAAGACTGAAGGCAAAAGAAGAGTGTGGCAGAGGATGAGATGGTTGGATGGTATCACCAACTCCATGGACTTGAATTTGAGCAAACTCTGATAGAGAGTGAAGGACAGGGAAGCCTGGTGTGCTGCAGTCATGGGATCACAAAGAGTTGGACGTGACTTAGCAACTGAACAACTTTTGATGTCATGGTTTTGCTGTAGATATGCAATTTTGCAGACGTTGTGTTTTTGAGTCACATACTGTTATGGTTTATGGATCTACTTCTCTTCAGATATAAAAGCCGTTTTCTTGGCTGCTTGCCAAAGGAATTAGTATCAGATCCAGTCCGCCTTTTATATTTCATTGTTCTCTGGTTTTGAACTTTCCAGTACTGCCTTTTTCATTTTCACTACAGCATTTAGGAAGACCCAAACCGGAAACAAGAATAGGAAAGGTAATTTCAGTGATAGCTATGATTTACTTAGGGACTACTCCAAAGGAGGCACCAAACTGAAAATTTCCCCCTTGATAATTCATTTAATTCTCCTAGTATTACTGTGAGACAGGCATGTTACTGTCTTTCAGAGGATGAGCCTGAGGGCCAGAAAGATTAATTTAGTCGCCTGAGCTGGAAGCTAGGCTGGGGGAAGATCTGACAGCAAAGTTAATTCTCTTAACCACTGGGTCTGTCTTTGTCAGCTGAGAAAACAGCTGATACTGGAAAGGTTTCAGCCTTGAGGATAAGGCGGTCAGCTACAGCGTTAGATGAAGTCATGGACACGCCCACTGCATGACTGACCTGGCCTGGCCCTGGCACTCCTCTCTCCCCTCCTGAGTGTAGTCATACACCCCTGTCACGATCACTGTGTCTTAACTCTCTTCCTCATCCTTTCCCTCTCCAGCCCTGACCCATCCATCGTCCATTGCAGCCAGCAATCCAGCAGGTGACGCACTTCAGCTCCCTGCTTCTGACTCCATCTGGCTCTCACCCAGTTGCACTCTTTGTCACCAAGCAGAATGACTTAGGGTTCCCCAGATGCACCATATTCACAGGTTTTTGCAAATGCTTCTTCCCTCTCTCACCGTCCCCACCATATGTGCCAAATAAATGTCCATAGAGGAAGTTAACAGTTTTTCTCTCCTTGGACCTCTTAGAAGAATTCTTTTCTAAACAATTCGTTTGCCAATCAAACTTTATCTTGTGATAGTTCTTCTATCACTTTATTCACTAGATGACGCTCTAGTTCATTTGATGACACGGGAACTCAGACTGCTGAAGACAGATAAATAAAACACTGCCTGGGAGATGTCCCTGGTGGTTCAGAGGCTAAGACTCTGCACTCCCAATGGAGGGGGCCTGGGTTTCATCAGGGACCTGGATCCCACATGTAACAACAAGATCAAAGATCCTGCACACCACAATTAGGACCTGGCAATCCAAATAAATAAATGTTTCTTAAAAAACGCTGCCTGGACCTCCAGTTGCTCATAACTGCAAACAATAATTAAACAACATGAAAGTGTAACAGCTACTCATATTATCTAGGGTGAAACAGATCACCAGCCCAGGTTGGGTGCATGAGACAAGTGCTCGGGCCTGGTGCACTGGGAAGACCCAGAGGGATCGGGTGGAGAGGGAGGTGGGAGGGGGGACCGGGATGGGGAATACATGTAAATCCATGGCTAATTCATTTCAATGTATGACAAAAACCACTGCAGTGATGTAAAGTAATTAGCCTCCAACTAATAAAAATAAATGGAAAAAAATATACATTTGAAAAAAAAAAAATGCAGTGACTGAAGACGTGACAAAGTCGGCCTGGAGGAAAGGAATGAGTTTGGGAAGGGCCTCCTTTAGGTGGACCCTGAAGCACAAACAGCCTACAGGCAGAGACCCACAGAGAACATCTTAGGCAAAAACAAACGTGGGTGCAAGTGCAGAGGAAGGGAGGGAAGGGTTTGGAGGGTTTAGGAAATGTAATAACTTATCTATAGCCGAGCTATCCAATAGAAATATAATATGAGTCACAGAGTCATTATAAATTATCTAGTAGCCACATTTTACAAAGTGAAAAACAGATGAATCAAATATAATTAAATCTAGTATTTAACGAAGTATATACCAAATGTTACCATTTTGTCATAGAATATCTATTTAAAATATTGAGTTGTTTTATACTTTTTGTATACTGTCCTTGAAATGCAGTGTGTTTTTTATACTGACACAACACCTTGGTTCAGACTGGCCCCATTTCCTGGGCTCACAGCCCCAGGTGGCCAGTGGCTTCCATTCCAGGCAGTGCAGTCTGGAGCACAGGGTGTGTGAGTAGGGGCAGGGGACATGCCATGGGTGGATGGCAGGAGGTGAGGGGGGGCGGGAGTGGAATTTGTCCAGGGCCTTGGAAGGTTTGACAGAAAGATGGAAAGCATTAGATTAGGCAGTGATCAGTGCTTAACACGGGAAGAGAAAGCTGCAGCTGAAGACTGGGCCGGTGGAGAACGAGGCCAGGTGGGGGCTTGGCGGCCTTCATACAGGCCGCTCCTCTGCCTGGATCTGCAGCTTCCCCTCTGCTTCCCCCAGTGCCGCCTCTGCTTCCCCCAGTGCCGCCTCTGCTCCATCTCTGTCTGCTTCTTCTGCCAAAGTCCCGCATATCCTCGTCCCTGTCGTTTAAAAATGTATGTTCTGGACTCCCCTGGCAGTCCAGTGGTTAAGGCTCAGAGCTTCAACTGTAGGGGGGTGTGGGAACTAACATCCTTCATGCCACTCAGTGCAGCCAAAAAATAAATAAAAATAGAAATGTATGTTCAACTCTGGCAGGTTGTGGTAAAAACAAAAGTTTTTTCCCCACAGTAATACTTTGTTACAGAATTGACATCACAATAGTGCCACTGAGGTGTGTGAGTGTGAAACTTGCCTGCGGTGTTAACTAAGGGCAGGTGAGAGTCTGAGCTCAGGTCACTGGCAGGGTGTTTTACCACCTGCACAGAGCAGGATCACAGGGCACCACTCTGCAGGGATCAAGAGGGCTGAACGAGTAATTCTATGAAGTACTGAGCATCTGTACCTGCAAAGCTGAGCAGTCAATAAATGTCAGTTATTGACATTTTTATTATTGTCGCTCTTTTTTGGTTTTGTTGCTGTTGTTCAATCTAGTTTATTTGACTGGAAATTTTGATTTAATTTTTTTTCCAACCTGGAAATTAATGAGAGAGGCAGCCTCACTGCAGGAAGCAGAGTTGTTGTTCAGTCGCCAAGTCAAGTCCAACCTTTTGCAACCCCGTGGACTGCAGCATGCCAGGAAGCAGAGTTCAGTTCAATTCAGTTGCTCAGTCATGTCCGACTCTTTGCAAACCCATGAACCGCAGCACGCCAGGCCTCTCTGTTCATCACCAACTCCCACAGTTCACCCAAATCCATGTCCATCAAGTCGGTGATGCCATCCAACCATCTCATCCTCTGTTGTCCCCTTCTCCTCCTACCTTCAATCTTTCCCAGCAACAGGGTCTTTTCAAATGAGTCAGCTCTTCGCATCAGGTGGCCAAAGTATTGAAGTTTCAGCTTCAACATCAGTCCTTCTAATGAATACCCAGGAATGATCTCTTTTAGGATGGACTGGATCTCC